CCCCCTCTTGTCCAAGGTCACAACCTGAACCCCTGCACCCTAGTCCCTTGCCCCAGGTCACAACTTCACCCTAACTCCCTCCCAGATCCCACACCTCTTCTGCAGGATCCCTTCTGCATGCAACCTCCATCCCAGACCCTGCACTTCCTCCATTAATATCATGGAAGAGTACAGCCCTTGACCACTTTCCAAATTCTTGGAGTGGCCCCCTCAAAAAATTATTGCTCACCCTTGCCCTATGTTAAACACAGGACCTAGTATGGAATTTTGAGGCACCCACTTCAAACCTTTATGAATTACAACTGACCATTTAATCCTAATCTTTGTTTTCTGTCTCAATCAGTTTTTGATCCCTGACAATCTCACCCCATGACTAGTTAGCTTCTTGCATCAAGGACCTTATCAAAGGCCTATCAGCACTCTAAATAAAATTATATCCACTGATTTTCCTTTAACCACTACTTTGACACATACAAATAATGTTAAGATTAGTGAGATATGATACTCCTTGGAAAAAAAATGTTCTGGTTAGGCCCTATTATATAATGATCTTCCAGGTGTTCTAGTATTTTTGCAACCAATTTGCCAGATACAAATGTAAGTATCAGGTCTGTAATAACTCAGATCACATCGTGAATCTTTAAAATAAAAGGTACAGAATTTGCTACCTTCCAGTCCTCTAGAATACTGCCCCTCCAAGCAAAAGGACAGTTTTAGAGGAGGAAATATGGGATAGGGGGAAAAAAATATTTATTGTAAATGGGTTGACTACATAAGCTCACTGGCAAGATACTAACCTTCTACGTGATTTGCTAAGGGGTCTGTACGTGCATGTGTTATAACATGCACAGACTCACGTCACTAAATGATTAGAATCTAAAAAGGAACCATGTGGCTCCACAGACAAATACCCGAAAACAAAATCTGTTGCCTATACAGGGTTCTCAGCACAAAACTGAAATATATCTGAAGCTATTGGGATCTACTTTTCAGGTCATGTAATTTATGCTGAGGTGAAACTCCCTGACCAGGTCTACACTAGACCTGGAAGGTCGGGTTAAGATATACAACTCCAGCTATGTTAAATACGTAGCTGGAGCTGGCTCACCTTAAGCCAAGCTTGGCACCATCTTCACAGAAGGAGGCCGACCAGAGCAAACGCTCCCATCTGCTTCCCTTACACCTCGCGACCGCCAGGAGTATCGGCACCAACCGGGGCCACCCTCAGCATTTGATTTAGCAGGTCTTAACTAGACCCACCAATATCCAACACCGTAAGATCGATCTCTGATGATCTCTGGCATGGCAAGTGAGGACGTGGGCACTGTTACATAAACAGCAAGTTAGATTTTATTACCTTCCATGAACAGCACACATGCAATTGATTTTATCTTCAAACAAAAGTTTAAACTAAGAAAGATCTGAAAAGTTTTCTTGGACCTATATGTTTGAGGCCTCTCTTATTAGTAGCTCTTTTTCATTGCCGCCTTCTATAGGGATCTGAGTTCCTCTCCAGAATGCCAGCACTAATAAATCCTTAGTTCACAGAATTGTGTTGTTTTAACACTGCTTGTGTGCCCTGCCCTGCACCATCACTCACCTGTCCATGGCAATCTGATTTGTATTTATTACAGCAGAAGTCGCTGAGGTGGCTTTGGATCGTTCTGTGAATCTGGAATCAAATGCTTTCATTGGTTCAATCTTAGATGGGGTTGTTAGCACAGAGAAAGATGATACAGTAGGAGCAGCTGAAGCAGAGGTAGCATTTACACTATTGAAGGAGGAAAGAAAAAAAATAAAGGTTGAAAATTATTTGGAATAAATCAGCATTTATCAAAACCTTCTACATAGACTAGAAGTTTCTTTAAATTGGCCACTCTTGGACATGTGACAATACACCATATCCTTTCATGTGTCAATATCCTCTAGGCCTTGGCTACTCTCAATAATTATTTATAATAGAACTGAGTTGAAATCTTAATGCTTTATAAAAAGTCTTTTAATCTACCTATATGCAACTAACTCATTCTTTGTAATTCTTACCCCTTCATTAAAAATACATATTATCTGTGGGCATTTAGTGTCCAAGTAAAATAAATTGGTGATTATGTATCTGCAAAAATGAGCCACAGAGATCCACATCCACAGATGAGGGTACCCACAAATTCCCATCAAGTCCACAAATGTGTAGGGTTCGAGATAAAAAAAATTGTATCTGCACCCGTGTCCATATCTGAGCCTTAAATGAATGCCAGATGCAGATACCCGTGAATATAAAGCAGATATTATGTACAGGCAGTCCCTGGGTTACGTACAAGATAGGGACTGTAGGTTTGTTCTTAAGTTGAATCTGTATGTAAGTCGGAACTGGCATCCAGATTCAGCCGCTGCTGAAACTGACCGCCATCCCCGCCAGTTCTGACTTACATACAGAATCAACTTAAGAACCCCAAGCGTCCCCAAGTCAGCTGCTGCTGAAACTGATCAGTGGCTGATTCCAGGAAGCCCGGGGCAGAGCAACTCTGCCTGGGGCTTCCTGTAGTCAGCGCTGGTCAGTT